TCTACCCCCTCTCTCTACCCCCTCTCTCTCTACCCCTCTCCCTCTACCCCCTCTCCCTCTACCCCCTCTCTCTCTACCCCCTCTCTCTCTCTACCCCCTCTCCCTCTACCCCCTCTCTCTCTACCCCCTCTCTCTCTCTACCCCTCTCTCTCTACCCCCTCTGCCTCTACCCCCTCTCCCTCTACCCCCTCTCTCTACCCCCTCTCTCTCTACCCCCCCCCTCTCTACCCCTCTCTCTCTACCCCTCTCTCTCTACCCCCTCTCTCTCTATCCCCCCCTCTCTACCCCTCTCTCTCTACTCCCTCTCTCTCTACCCCCTCTCTCTCTACCCCCTTTCTCTCTACCCACTCTCCCTCTACCCCTCTCTCTCTACCCACTCTCTCTCTACCCCCTCCTACCCCATCTCCCTCTACCCCCTCTCCCTCTACCCCCTCTCCCTCTACCCCCTCTCTCTCTACCCCCTCCTACCCCCTCTCCCTCTACCCCCTCTATCTCTACCCCCTCTATCTCTACCCCTTCTCTCTCTCTCTACCTCCTCTCTCTCTCTACCCCCTCTCTCTCTCCACCCCCTCTCTCTCTACCCCCCTCTATCTCTACCCCCTCTCTCTCTACCCCCTCTCTCTCTACCCACTCTCCCTCTACCCCCTCTCTCTCTACCCCCTCTCTCTCTACCCCCTCTCTCTCTACCCCCTCCTACCCCCTCTCCCTCTACCCCTCTATCTCTACCCCCTCTATCTCTACCCCTTCTCTCTCTCTCTACCTCCTCTCTCTCTCTACCCCCTCTCTCTCTCCACCCCCTCTCTCTCTACCCCCCTCTATCTCTACCCCCTCTCTCTCTACCCCCTCTCTCTCTACCCACTCTCCCTCTACCCCCTCTCTCTCTACCCCCTCTCTCTCTACCCCCTCTCTCTCTACCCCCTCTCTCTCTACCCACTCTCCCTCTACCCCCTCTCTCTCTACCCCCCTCTCTCTCTACCCCCTCTCGCTCTACCCCCTCTCTCTCTACCCCCCTGTATCTCTACCTCCTCTCTCTCTACCCCCTCTCTCTCTCTACCTCCTCTCTCTCTACCCCCTCTCTCTCTACCCCCTCTCTCTCTACCCCCTCTCTCTCTACCCACTCTCCCTCTACCCCCTCTCTCTCTACCCCCCTCTCTCTCTACCCCCTCTCGCTCTACCCCCTCTCTCTCTACCCCCTGTATCTCTACCTCCTCTCTCTCTACCCCCTCTCTCTCTCTACCTCCTCTCTCTCTACCCCCTCTCTCTCTACCCCCTCTCTCTCTACCCCCTCTCTCTACCCCCCCTCTCTCTCTCTACCCCCTCTCTCTACCCCACTCTCTCTACTCCACTCTCTCTCTACCCCACTCTCTCTCTACCCCACTCTCTCTCTACTCCACTCTCTCTCTACCCCCTCTCTCTCTCTACCCCACTCTCTCTCTACCCCACTCTCTCTACCCCCTCTCTCTACCCCCTCTCTCTACCCCCTCTCTCTTCCTCCTCTCTCTACCCCCTCTCTCTACCCCCTCTCTCTTCCTCCTCTCTCTACCCCCTCTCTCTACCCCCTCTCTCTACCCCCTCTCTCTCTACCCCCTCTCTCTCTACCCCCTCTCTCTCTACCCACTCTCCCTCTACCCCCTCTCTCTCTACCCCCCTCTCTCTCTACCCCCTCTCGCTCTACCCCCTCTCTCTCTACCCCCCTGTATCTCTACCTCCTCTCTCTCTACCCCCTCTCTCTCTCTACCTCCTCTCTCTCTACCCCCTCTCTCTCTACCCCCTCTCTCTCTACCCCCTCTCTCTCTACCCACTCTCCCTCTACCCCTCTCTCTCTACCCCCCTCTCTCTCTACCCCCTCTCGCTCTACCCCCTCTCTCTCTACCCCCTGTATCTCTACCTCCTCTCTCTCTACCCCCTCTCTCTCTCTACCTCCTCTCTCTCTACCCCCTCTCTCTCTACCCCCTCTCTCTCTACCCCCTCTCTCTACCCCCCCTCTCTCTCTCTACCCCCTCTCTCTACCCCTCTCTCTCTACCCCCCCCTCTCTACCCCTCTCTCTCTACCCCTCTCTCTCTACCCCCTCTCTCTCTCTATCCCCCCCTCTCTACCCCTCTCTCTCTACTCCCTCTCTCTCTACCCCCTCTCTCTCTACCCCCTTTCTCTCTACCCACTCTCCCTCTACCCCTCTCTCTCTACCCACTCTCTCTCTACCCCCTCCTACCCCCTCTCCCTCTACCCCCTCTCCCTCTACCCCCTCTCCCTCTACCCCCTCTCTCTCTACCCCCTCCTACCCCCTCTCCCTCTACCCCCTCTATCTCTACCCCCTCTATCTCTACCCCTTCTCTCTCTCTCTACCTCCTCTCTCTCTCTACCCCCTCTCTCTCTCCACCCCCTCTCTCTCTACCCCCCTCTATCTCTACCCCCTCTCTCTCTACCCCCTCTCTCTCTACCCACTCTCCCTCTACCCCCTCTCTCTCTACCCCCTCTCTCTCTACCCCCTCTCTCTCTACCCCCTCCTACCCCCTCTCCCTCTACCCCCTCTATCTCTACCCCCTCTATCTCTACCCCTTCTCTCTCTCTCTACCTCCTCTCTCCCTCTACCCCCTCTCTCTCTCCACCCCCTCTCTCTCTACCCCCCTCTATCTCTACCCCCTCTCTCTCTACCCCCTCTCTCTCTACCCACTCTCCCTCTACCCCCTCTCTCTCTACCCCCTCTCTCTCTACCCCCTCTCTCTCTACCCCCTCTCTCTCTACCCACTCTCCCTCTACCCCCTCTCTCTCTACCCCCTCTCTCTCTACCCCCTCTCGCTCTACCCCCTCTCTCTCTACCCCCCTGTATCTCTACCTCCTCTCTCTCTACCCCCTCTCTCTCTCTACCTCCTCTCTCTCTACCCCCTCTCTCTCTACCCCCTCTCTCTCTACCCCCTCTCTCTCTACCCACTCTCCCTCTACCCCCTCTCTCTCTACCCCCCTCTCTCTCTACCCCCTCTCGCTCTACCCCCTCTCTCTCTACCCCCTGTATCTCTACCTCCTCTCTCTCTACCCCCTCTCTCTCTCTACCTCCTCTCTCTCTACCCCCTCTCTCTCTACCCCCTCTCTCTCTACCCCCTCTCTCTCTACCCACTCTCCCTCTACCCCCTCTCTCTCTACCCCCCTCTCTCTCTACCCCCTCTCGCTCTACCCCCTCTCTCTCTACCCCCTGTATCTCTACCTCCTCTCTCTCTACCCCCTCTCTCTCTCTACCTCCTCTCTCTCTACCCCCTCTCTCTCTACCCACTCTCCCTCTACCCCCTCTCTCTCTACCCCCCTCTATCTCTACCTCCTCTCTCTCTACCCACTCTCTTCTCTCTCTCTCTCTACCCCCCTCTCTCTCTCTACCTATCTCTTTTTTTACGATCAGAAGAAACAAGAAGATGCTCGGTGTAGTCGGCACTTTGCTCCGTTCATCATTTCGTTTTTTTTATGCTTTGCTTTGTGTATCCCCCCCCCCCTTTTAAATGAAAGACCCAAAACATGTTCTATTTATTTATTCCCTTTCCCCTTCCCTCTCTCTCTACCCCCCTCTCTGCCCCCCCTCTCTCTCTACCCCCTCTCTGCTTCTCCTCTCTCTCTCTACCCCCTCTCCGCCCCCTCTCTTCCTACTCCATTTGGCTCTCTCTCGCTCTCTCTTTTTTCTTTATAACTACGACAAGTGCTGCATCTGCACGCAGCCCTTCCCACAGTCAAACGGCCTCCGACGGGTAGCTCAGATCTGCATGCACAGAGCTCTCTACCGTCATCTGCCACCGAGCACACGGCCTCCTCCAGCGCCCACTGCTCCTTGAAGGCCGGCACGGCGTGGGTCAGCCGCGCATGGCGGAACTCCGGCAATAATATGGAACGCTTCACGAATTTGCGTGTCATCCTTGCGCAGGGGCTATGCTAATCTTCTCTGTATCGTTCCAATTTTAGTTTATGTACTGCCGGAGCAAGTACCCCCTCTCTCTGTCTCTCTCTACCCCCCCCTCTCTCTCTACCCCTCTCTCTCTCTCTCTACCCCCTGTCTCTCTCTCTACCCCCTCTATCTCTACCCCCTCTCTCTTTACCTCTCTCTCTCTCTACCCCCTCTCTCTACCCCCTCTCTACCCTTTCTCTCTACCCCCTCGCTCTCTCTACCCCCTCTCTCTCTACCCCCTCTCTCTCTACCCCCTCTCTCTACCCCCCTCTCTCTACCCCCTCTCTCTCTACCCCCTCTCTCTACCCCTCTATCTCTCTACCCCCTCTCTCTCTACCCCCTCTCTCTCTACCCCCTCTCTCTACCCCTCTCTCTCTACCCCCTCTCTCTCTACCCCCTCTCTCTCTACCCCCTCTCTCTCTCTACCCCCTCTCTCTACCCCCCCTCTCTCTACCCCCTCTCCCTCTACCTCCTCTTCCTCTACCCCCTCTCTCTCTATCCCTCTCTCTACCCCCCCTCGCCCTACTGTCTCTCTCTCTCCATGTTCCCCCTGTTTTCTATGTAATTTTTTAAAACTACGACAAGTGCTGCATCTGCAACCAGCACTCCTTGCAGTCCTATGGCCTCCGACGGTAGCTCAGAACTCCATGCAGAGCTGTAACGTTTATTTTCATTTGTGTTGCTGGTGACTTTGTGTATTTGTGTTGCTGGTGACTTTGTGTATTTGTGTTGCTGGTGACTGTGTGTATTTGTGTTGCTGGTGACTTTGTGTATTTGTGTTGCTGGTGACTTTGTGTATTTGTGTTGCTGGTGACTTTGTGTATTTGTGTTGCTGGTGACTTTGTGTATTTGTGTTGCTGGTGACTTTGTGTATTTGTGTTGCTGGTGACTTTGTGTATTTGTGTTGCTTGTGACTTTGTGTATTTCATATCGAAATCGCCTCCAGTGCTGTTGCTGCTGGCGGCAATGAAAGTTGTTTAAAAGTCTCACCTCTCCTCTCTCCACTCCCCTCCCTCTCTCTCTCTCCCCTCTCCTCCCACTCTCGCTCCCCCCTCTCTCTCTCTCTCTCCCCTCTCCTCCCACTCTTTCCTGCCCTCATAAGCCCCACGCCAAGTTAACTCAGAGGACAGTTCTGACTCGGGACCTCAACGGGTGCGCCTCTCGAGATTTTGGACGCCCTTCAATATTGACATCACTATCAGCAGCAACGGCATCATCATCAGAATCATCAGCAGCAATACCATCATCAGAAACATCATCAGCAGCAGCAGCAACACCATCATCAGAAACATAATCAGCAGCACCACCACCACCACCACTTTCAGCAACATCACCAGCAGCAGCAAACATTATAAACTACATCAACCACCAGCAACAACATCGTCAACATCACCATCAACAACAACAGCAGCGTGACATCACCAGCAACATCGCCGGCTCCAGCAACAATCGAGCAGCCGCCGTCGAAGCGTCGCTGGCGTGACACGTATGACATTTTATTTTAAGAATAACGTGTGAGATTTATTTAACAATATATTCTAGTATTAAATATTCATTTTCGGCCAATAAATAAAAATGTTGTTGTTGTTGTGGACGGCGAGGTGGGCGGTGTGGTGAGTGGGTGGGGAGAGGGGAATTCATCGTGGATTTAAATTACTTTCGAAGAGTATAAAGCGAGAAAAAAAAAGTTAAAATAAACGTTCTGAATCATTTGCCACCGCCTTGCGGAGGAGAGTAACCTGCACAATTAATTAGTCGCTGAAAGAGATGATGTTGATCAAAATGCAGTGGAAACATCACGGAAGATAAAAGATTGTCCAGCGTTCGTGGCGCACATTAAAGTAATACACATTGCAGTTGAACGTGAAACGCAAGGAGAGCGATCGGGTGAGCGAGCGAGACGGAGAGAGCGCTCCAGCGCTTCTCGATGCGGCGGATCCGACGCGCGGCACAGCAGCAGCATCAGCAGCAGCATCAGCTGCTGATGCTGATGATGATGCTGCTGATGCAGCTGATGCAGCTGCAGGTGAGTGGCTGAAGCTACGCGTGGTCTTCCACGCCGGGGGCCACCGCCAGCAGCTGCGACGATCGTCCGAACCCGGTCCTGGCGCCATCCCCCTAGGTCGACTCGGCCTCAAATGAGAACCGCGCGGCGGTTCTCACACCGAAGAGGTTCGCCGCGATCGTAGGCAGGCGGGAGCGGCCGGGAGAGGCGGTTGTGGTGGTGGTTGTGGTGGCGGTTGTGGTGGTGGTTGTGGTGGTGGTGGTGGTCACCCATAGCGGGGAGCGGTGGTGGTAGTGGTTAGCGCTACGCCGCGCTACGAACCCAGCGACCCGGGTTCGATTCGAGCTCACGGCCAACACCCAGTGACGATTATCTGAACCGGGCCTCCCCTAGGTCGACTCAGCCTCAAAGGAGTACCTGGCGCGGTGTGTAGTAAACATCGCCACTGGGGAGACAAAGGCGGTCGGGCGTGGTGCTGGCCACCCACCCCCTCGTGTACCGTTTCGGCCTTCATAGGTGCTACTCGCTAACAGCACTTGCCCCTACAGTATGTTCGGGCTATACGGGGGATCTTTGTCTTTGGTCACCCACACAGCACGTCGTGCCGGCCTTCGTGGGTGCGACCAGCTAACTCGATTCACACAGAGTGAGTGGGTGAGATGGTGAGTGTTTGGGTGAAGATGTGGGGTGAGTGAGATGGTGAGTGAGTTGGTGGGTGAGATGGTGAGTGATTGGGTGAGTGATTTGGTGGGTGAGATGGTGAGTGATTGGGTGAGTGAGTTGGTGGGTGAGATGGTGAGTGATTGGATGAAGGAGTGGGTGAGTGAGTTGGTGGGTGAGGGCGAGTGATTGGGTGAAGGGGTGGGATGAGTGAGATGGTGAGTGAGTTGGTGGGTGACATGGTGAGTGATTGGGTGAAGGGGTGGGATGAGTGAGATAGTGAGTGAGTTGGTGAGTGACATGGTGAGTGATTGGGTGAAGGAGTGGGTGAGTGAGATGGTGAGTGATTGGGTAAGTGAGTTGGTGGGTGAGAGGGTTAGTGATTGGGTGAAGCAGTGGGGTGAGTGAGATGGTGAGTGAGACGGTGAGTAATTGAATGAGATTATGAGTGACTGGCACACCGCGCTATGAACCCCGTCGACCCGGGTTCGATTCCCGCTCACGGCCAACACCAGTGACAATTATCTGAACCGGTCCTGCGCCTCCCCTAGGTCAACTCAGCCTCAAATGAGTACCTGGCGCGGTGAGTAGTAAACATCGCCACTGGGGAGACAAAGGCGGCCGGGCGTGGTGCTGGCCGCCCACCCCCTCGTGTGCCAGAGTGCCAGCCTTCATAGATGCTGCTACTCGCCAACAGCACTTGCCCCAACAGTCTGTCGAAGGCGATACGGGGGATCTTTGCCTTTGTGCTTAAAGCTACACTCCGTATGGCAAGCAGACGCCTGCTATGTAGGGTGGAGTCGGCGATGTGGATATATTTGTTGAACTTCTTTCGCACCGTACGTAGCCAACCGCTGCTACATGGAAGTGAACGGTGTCATTGATTCAAAATGTGCGTTCTTCGTGAAAGTGAATGGCGATCGATCGAGAAGACAACTCTATGGAGAGCTATTTCATATTTTGTCACGACAGAGGTCTACAGAAGCGCACTGTGGTCCATTCAGTATCACAGAGCCCCGTGATGGTGACCACATCTCGGGAGCCAAGCAGGTTTGAGCCTGTGTACGTGCACCATGCATACCAAGTTGCTGTAGGTTGTGTGTGTGCGTGCACCATGCATACCAAGTTGCTATAGGCTGTGTGTGTGTGCACCATGCATACCAAGTTGCTGTAGGCTGTATGTGTGTGCACCATGCACACCATGCATACCAAGTTGCTATAGGCTGTGTGTGTGTGCACCATGCATACCAAGTTGATATAGGCTGTGTGTGTGCACCATGCATACCAAGTTGCTATAGGCTGTGTGTGTGCACCATGCATACCAAGTTGCTATAGGCTGTGTGTGTGTGCACCATGCATACCAAGTTGCTATAGGATGTGTGTGTGCACCATGCATACCAAGTTGCTATAGGCTGTGTGTGTGCACCATGCATACCAAGTTGCTATAGGCTGTGTGTGTGCACCATGCATACCAAGTTGCTATAGGCCGTGTGTGTGTGCACCATGCATACCAAGTTGCTATAGGCTGTGTGAGTGCACCATGCATACCAAGTTGCTATAGGCTGTGTGTGCGTGCACCATGCATACCAAGTTGCTATAGGCTGTGTACGTGCACCATGCATACCAAGTTGCTATAGGCTGTGTGTGCACCATGCATACCAAGTTGCTATAGGCTGTGTGTGTGTGCACCATGTATACTAAGTTGCTATAGGTTGTGTACGTGCACCATGCATACCAAGTTGCTATAGGCTGTCAGTGTGTGCACCATGCATACCAAGTTGCTATAGGCTGTGTGTGTGTGCACCATGCATACCAAGTTGCTATAGGCTGTGTGTGTGCACCATGCATACCAAGTTGCTATAGGCTGTGTGTGTGCACCATGCATACCAAGTTGCTATAGGCTGTGTGAGTGCACCATGCATACCAAGTTGCTATAGGTTGTGTGTGTGTGCACCATGTATACTAAGTTGCTATAGGTTGTGTACCTGCACCATGCATACCAAGTTGCTATAGGCTGTGTGTGTGCACGATGTATACTAAGTTGCTATAGGTTGTGTACGTGCACCATGCATACCAAGTTGCTATAGGCTGTGTGTGTGCACCATGTATACTAAGTTGCTATAGGTTGTGTACGTGCACCATGCATACCAAGTTGCTATAGGCTGTGTGTGTGTGTACCATGCATACCAAGTTGCTATAGGCTGTGTGTGCACCATGCACATCATGCATACCAAGTTGCTATAGGCTGTGTGTGTGCACCATGCATACCAAGTTGCTGTAGGCTGTGTGTGTGTGCACCATGCATACCAAGTTGCTATAGGCTGTGTGTGTGTGCACCATGCATACCAAGTTGCTACAGGCTGCCGCGTAGCGACACTGTTGCCAACAGCAGCGGGGCGCAGTGCAGCAGTGATTCATTGTTGTACTGCACGGCGCTCCGACGTCTATGTTCAATCCACTGCTGGATGGGGACCTCCCAAGACGCCGTTGCTGGGATGACGGTCACGTGGGGCTTCACGTGAAGCCCCGAAGCATAGAAGCGCAGCGCAATGTCGCAGGCGTACGGCGACCTCGGTGTGCAGGCGTGATCGCGATGCACGATCGTATCATTTGCGATCGTAAAAAATGAACATCGGCGTCATCCAAATCATCGCCCATTGTCTCAATCGCCGTCGCCTGTCGTGCCAGGAGCGCTCCTCCCGTGCGGCAGTGCTGGTTGGGGGAAAGTGATGTCCCGCTAATGTACGCATGAGTAGACGTCACTCGGAGAAGCGAATCTCAGAGGTGGCTCTGTCATAGCCACTTCTGCGGGCTGTTTGTTCGTTGACCGGAGACGCCCCTTGATGAAGTCGATCTCAGAGGTGGCTCTGTGATATCCACTTCCGCGGGCCATTTTGCGTGGACCAGAGGCGCCCCTCGATGAAGTGGATCTCAGTGGTGGCTCTGTCTTAGCCACTTCCGCGGGCCGTTCTCATTTGTTTGATTTTGATGCAGCTGCGTTAGCAGGATGTCAATCGGCAACCCACGGTTGACTTTGTTTCATAGTCAACAGCGGTCGCGATGATGATGATGATGATCGATGATCTTTGATGATTACTGATATTGATGGTAGTGATGGTGATAACGATGAATGATGCTCGTCATGATAATAGTTAATTATTTAAACGAATGATCATTGATTTTGATTGATAATGACCATGATGGTGATGATTATTGATCTATGACTGATACGCGTCATCATAATAGCTGATACAGATTTTGATGCAGACGACTGATCATGATCATAATTCGATCCATGATAACTGAAAAATTACAACTGATATTCCTGATGATGATGCTAACGATGATGATGATGACTTTAAGAGCGATGGGCTGATTCAAATTCTCACTCGGATTGGAACTTAAAATCTTCCCATCGAGGGTCTAGGATGCGTGGCAACAGCTCATGTCGACATTTAATGTTCAATAAATAACATTCAGCAAGCACAACGGCACGTCATATATCAACCGCGTTTGGTGGTGACATTTATATTAACGTATACAATTTTTTTTTTACATTTCCGAGATAGTCAAAGGGTGTGTTTGTTGTTAGTTTAGCGGCAATTATTAATCTCGCTGAGTCTCAAGACTCATTGAGGGGAGGGTCCTGCCTTGGCATATTTGTCCGATCAGCGTTCATGAGTTGTCCAGTTGGCGAACACTGGACAACCCGGCTGGAGAGATGTTAACTCCTTCGCCTGGAGTACAGGAAGTCGTGGGTTCGATCCCGGTCCTGACGATGCCTGCTTTATATATGGAGGCTGCGTGTCTCTCATCATCAT